CGCATCTCCCATTCCCCTTTCCCCCCAAGAATAGTCTGTCCATTCCCTTTCTATGTCCCTGATTCATTATAATCACCAGTTCATTCTGTACATCAGATTATTTATTCACTTGATTCTTAGATTCACTTGTTGATAGATGCATGTTTGTTGTTCACAATTTGTATCTTTACCTTTTTCTTCTTCCTCTTCTTAAAGGATACCTTTCAGCATTTCGTATAATACTGGTTTAGTGGTGATGAACTCCTTTAGCTTTTCCTTATCTGTGAAGCTCTTTATCTGACCTTCAATTCTGAATGATAGCTTTGCTGGATAAAGTACTCTTGGTTGTAGGTTCTTGGTATTCAGCACTTTGAATATTTCTTGCCATTCCCTTCTGGCCTGCAAAGTTTCTGTTGAGAAATCAGCTGACAGTCATATGGGTATTCCCTTGTAGGTAATTGAGTCTCTTTCTCTTGCTGCTTTTAAGATTCTCTCTTTGTCTTTTGCTCTTGGCATTTTAATTATGATGTGTCTTGGTGTGGTCCTCTTTGGATTCCTTTTGTTTGGGGTTCTCTGCGCTTCTTGGACCTGTAAGTCCATTTCTTTCACCAGGTGGGGGAAGTTTTCTGCCATTATTTCTTCAAATAGGTTTTCAATATCTTGCTGTCTCTCATCTTCTGGCACCCCAATAATTCTGACATTAGTGCGCTTGAAGCTGTCCCAGAGGCTCCTTACACTATCTTCGTATTTTCGGATTCTTTTTTCATTTTGCTTTTCCGGTTGGGTGTTTTTTGCTTCTTCGAATTTCAAATCTTTGGCTTGATTCTTGCGCTCCTCTGGTCTGCTATTGGGTATAATATTCTTTATTTCAGTCCGTGTATGCTTAATTTCTAGTTTCTTTATCGTAGCATCAAGGGTCTCATTAGTTTTTGTGAGACTCTCCACAAGTTTATTGCAAGCCCTCAAAATTGCGTTTTTTAGCTCCATATCCTCCATTTCTGTCATGTTTTTTTGTCTCCGCATTTTTTATGCTTTCTTGGTGCACCCCCTTGTGGTCTTTGTGCGCAGTCTTGTTCTAGTTAAGCCCTGATTTTTTTAGTTAATACTGAGGGATTTGACCACCAGGCTGACTGGCTGTGAGAATCAGCTGTGTGGAAAACTTCTGTCCTCTGGGGAGGTGCTAATCTAGCCTTTGCCTGAGGCGATCCGGCAAATGGCTCTGCGCAGGGCTTGGGCGGGGCGGGATCCACAGGGCGGGTGGAGGGAGCAGTTATGGCTGCTCTCAGTCCCTTCCCAGAGGCTCTGCTTCTCAGAACCCCGGCAGCCGCTGCAAACCTCGGAGAGAAAGCTGCCCTTAGGTTCCAACTGATGCCGGACAATCCCGCTTCTCCCATCTGAGTCTGAGTCCCTAGAGACTCGCCCGGATCTGGAGCCCAGAGCCTGAGACTCCCTCCCGACTGAAAACGACAACCGCGCCCTCAGCCACCAGCCCGCTTTGCGCGCGCACCTCGGTACCTTTGTATTTTCCACACTGCGCCTCCTCTGAGCCTCGGTTTGCTGTTCTCTTTCCTTCTAGTTGAAGAGTCTCTCCTCAGCCAGCTTTCCTGTGGTTCTGGGTGATGTCTGTTCCGTCTTTTAGTTGTATTTTTGAAGTGGTTGTTTGCGGCAGCAGTCTCCGGTGTTTACCTATGCCGCCATCTTTCAGAAGACATGCTATTGATTTAGGGGGAAACCTCAGTTATATTCAGGGAGATGGATGGACAGATAACTTAAAATTTGCAAAATAATTAACTAAAGAGCTCAGATCTTCACACATGTTATTGTGGTTACTGGTGCTAGATATTTAGTGTCAATCAAGGAAGTCTTCCTGGTAGAGGTGAATTTGAGTTTAAAGGACAGCAAGGGACTTGGGTCCATAGATCTTAGGCCCCCTGAGAATCATGACCATACTTTCTCATTTCCCTACATCCCCTTTGTAATATGCACAAGCCTGAGCATAGAGAAGGCCCTTGTTTAATGAACAATCACCAACAGATAGAGAGTGAATGTATCTAACTGGTGAGTTGGAGACAGCAGAGTGGGAATGGAGTAGGGATCAGGGAGGAGGGCTGGTTGGAACGGAGAGCCTGAGGCTGGTGTGGGGGAATGGCAGTAGAGTGATAACAGGGACAGAGGGAGTTGCCCTATGTGTGTGGAGGCCACTGAAGCACAGCATTTAGAGCAACTCCCTCATGTTTATGGAGTTGGTGAGAGACACTTTACTGAATCTTGGATAGTTAACGCTGGAGACTATTAAATTATAAAATCATAGACTGCTCAGCTTCTAGAGCTACACAATCATGGAAAGTTAGAGAATTAAAACCATAGCATTGCCCTAGCCAGTTTTGCTCAGTGGATAGAGTGTCAACCCACAGACTGAAGGGTCCTGGATTCCGTTCCAGTCAAGGGTACATACCTCGGTTGCAGGGTCGGTCTCCAGCCCTGGGCAGGGCGGGAACGGGAGACAAACAATCGATGTCTCTCTCTCACATTGATGTTTCTCTCTCTGTGTCTTTCCCCCTCCCTTCCACTCTCTCTAAAAATCAATGGGAAAATATCCTTGGGTGAGGATTAACAAAAATATAAATAAATAAATAATCATAGCATCTTAACAGGGCAGAATCACAGTGTGTTGAAATTATAGAACTGTAGTCTCTTAGAGCCAAAGAGCTAAAAATTCACACTAGAGAATCTTAAAATTCAAGCTATCTCAGTGTCAAAGGGGAAAAGAAACACTATTTTATGGGCTCCCTCTAGTTTTATCTGTGATGGTGCTAGGAGTATTCTAGTACATTATCCTATCCAATTCCTTTCACAGGTTTTAAGCCATTCCGTCCCATCTCTACGCAATGCAGTACTTCTGACAAAGGTCTATCAAACACAGGCTTCCGTAAGTTTCTTTACAGAGGAGTCCTTGCCTCTGTGCATACCTCTACCCCCTGCTGACTAGCAGCTGGAAAGTTCTAACTTATATAAACTATACTCTGTCTCCTTGCAGTGTCCCCACACTAGTCCAGTTCATGCCCATAGAGCTACCTGGAGTAAGTCTGATCTCCATTCACACGACAGCCTTTCAGACAGGTAGAAGTCCTGCTTTCTTCTCTCAGATAAGCTGGTTGTTCTCATGTAGCGAGACATGGGGCGGCAAATCCAAGAATATTTGATCTGGAAAGGCCCTTACAGTCATGTTGTCCAGAGACTTCCATTTATTGCCAGGCAATACAGCATTATGGTCAGAAAGCCTGGGCTGCAGAGAGAGAGAAGCCTGAATTCAGAATCCAGAGATACAGCACTAACTTGCTATGTAACCGTTGGCAAATTACCTAATGTCTCTGGGTCTCACTCTCCTTATCCACAAAACAAAGAGAATAATAATATTGACATAGCAGAGTTGATGTGAGGATTGAATGGGATAAAGCAGGGGAAGCTCTTAGCAGAGTGCTTGGCACACAGTAAGCAGTCAGTAAATATTAGCTATGATTATTAGAGGCCCAGAGGTGCAGGGACTTGCTCAAGATCACAGAGTAACTCAGAGGCAGAGCTGGAGTTAGACCAAGGACTCCTGCCTCCCAACCCAGGGCCCTTTCCTATTCCACATTTCCACTGTGCCTTCCTCAGGAAAAGGAAATGACCCCAAAGGGAACTGGAATACTTTGTCACTGAATCAGTTGGAATGCAAGTAAGAGAAAACCTGGTTTAGAATGGCTTGAACCTTTTATTTCTTTAACAAGGAGGCCGGAGGAAGGTGGATCCAGGGTTGGTCTGGTGATTCACCATGTTTCTGATGACCCAGACTTTTCCCATTCTAAGCCTTGAGGGAGACTCTACTTGTGATCACAAAGTGGCTGATGTGACACTGAGCACCGTGCCCTCCCAAGCAAGAAGAAAGGGCCTGGGAGCAAAAAGGGCCTCCTCCTCTCATGCCTCTCTTTTAACCAGGAAGGGAGCTTTCCAAGTGGACCATCTCCTTATATGCCATTGACCACAGTGAGGTCACACATCCACTCTTAGACCACTTACTGGCAAAGGGAACGGTGTTTCCATGAATTGCTTGGATCATCCCTGTTCCTGGGCATCTTGCTTCTGAAATAAGGACGAGGGGATTGGCTGTGGGAAGGTAACCAATAGTACCTGCCATACTCACACTCTGTCTTCTCTCTAGATAGGCCTCATCTTTCCAGCCTCTGCCAGGGAGCCTTCCCTATTTACACCCATTTGACCAGCACACCCTCTTCTACCATGTAATCAAACATTACCCAGTTCAATTCATAGTCTACTTTGACAAGGTCTCTCATCTTCTCATGTCCAAATCTTGTCTTCTTAACCTGTCAGCTTTGGGAGGCTAATAACAGCTACTAATGAATAAGTACCTATTGTGTGCCAGGCACTGTTCTAGGCACTTGTGAGCCAGCTCCCAAATGGCTCCCAATGATCCACACCTCCTGGTATTCCTACCCTTTTGTATTCCCCTCCCACATTTTACCAAGGTTAATCTGTGTGACCAATAGAATATGGCAAAAGTGATGATATGTCACTTCCAAGATTAGTTGTAAAAGATGAGTGGCTTCCATCTGGGTAGCACACATTCTCTTTCTTGGATCATTCATTCTAGGAGAAGTTAACCACCGTGTCATGAGCAGCCTTGTGGAGAGGCTTGTGTGGAAAGAAACTGAAACCTTTGACCATGGTTACAGAATAAGCCTGGAAAAGGATCCTCCTGCCCCAATTGAGCCTTCTGATGACTGCAGCCCTGGCTGACATTCACTTGCAACGTCATGAGAGATCTTGAGCCAGAATCTCCTAATTGATCCTCGTCTGGGTTCTTTATCCTCAGAAACTGGGTGAGATAATAGAAATTTGTTGTTGTTTTAAAAAATATTTTTTTTATTGATTTCAGAGAGAGAGATAGAAACATCAGTGATGAGCGAGAATCATTGATCACCTGCCTCCTGCACGCTCCCCTTCCCTACTGGGGACCGAGCCCACAACCGGGCATGTGCCCTGACTGGCAATCAAACTGCGACCTCCTGATTTATGGGTTGATGTTCAACCACTGAGCCACACCAGCTGGGAAAAACTTGTTGTTTTAAGATGCTAAGTTTTGGGGTAATTTGTTACTCAGCAATGGTTAACTACTTACTGTAGTGCTGCATTATCACATTAAATCCTCAGAACAAATGTGAAAGGTGGAATTTTTTCCCTACTTTTCAGATGAGAAAGCCAAAGCTGAGATGAGTGTAGTGACTTCCCACACCTGGGAAGTGGCTGAGCTTGGATTTTCCCATGTCTATTGGGTTCCAGATCCCAGGGAACCTGGTTCTGTTTTCTCAGCTGGAATGGCTCCAGCTCCAGGGCGAAGTTTGAGGAACCGAGGACAGGAGGACGTGGTCTCTTTGTCTGAGGTGTTTCTCTCCCTCTTTTCATTTCAATCACGTTGGTTTGCAGCTATGGCATCTTTGTGTATATGTGAGTCAGTGACAAGTAGGTTTATTCGAAAAAACATCAGAGTTTTAGGAGGGGGATATTTGGGCTCTTGAGTGACCTTGGATAAGTTCTTACGCTCTTGTAGGTCTCAGTTTCTTTATCTCCCGTATGGAGATAATAACTCTGTTCCACATTCCTCACCAGGGAACCATGAGCATCCAGTACAAAGGGACTTTGTAAAATGTCAAGTATTGTGATCCCAGAAAGGTTTGCTTTGAGTAAGGAGCACCCTCACCCAAGGCACTCACAGTCCCCATGGAGGTAGCCCCACACAATCTGCAAGGGTGGCCAGTGCTCCCTCTTCTCTCCCACCTGAGTCTCAGGAGACAGAGTACTGAGAGAACTTGAGAGCCCCAACCCACTCCTTCAACCTCCTCCCTCACTATCACCTCCCTCTTAAGCAACCTTGCAGCCACTGAAGTAGTGGAAATTTCCCAAGCCTGACAGGAGCCTTTCTGTATGCTGAGCCTCTGTCTGTGCAGTTTCTTCTCCCTGGACACCATGCCCAACTTCTCCACCTGGTGCGTCACTACTCATCTTTCATGACTCAGATGTCCCCACTTTCAGGATACCTCTTGACCTGGTTCAAAGCCTACTTCTCCTCTGCATTAGTGCACCAGCCTCCTGCCTGAGCACTTGGACTCCAGCTTCTCTTTTCTACTCAAAGCCCCCTGTGGCACAGCCAGCGGTCTTTCTAAAACACACATCTTGTCACGTCACTCCCTGCTTAAAATAACCGCCCAACGGAATAATCCATCAATCAATGTTTCAAGAGCTCCTCCTTGCTCTCAGGAAAACATCCAAAGCCTCCAGCTGGAACTCAAGGCTTGCTCCCCACTGGTGTCTCCAGCCTCAGCTCTCCTCTCTCCTGGTCGCCCTGCACAGGTGGTACATCCTAGCCACATTGATCTCGTTTCATAACTCAGACACACCTCACTCTCTCGTGTCTTCCGATCTGCTGGTCCCATTGTTTTCCATGCCCATTCCCATCTTAGCCACCTAGTCACTTCCTGCCTAACGTTGAAGGCCAGCTCTGATTTAACCTCTCCTGGGAAGCCTGCCTGGGTGGTCCCAGGAAGAGTCCATGGCTTCTTCTTCCCTCTCCTATATGACTTCTCAAGCTTTTGTTACTGTTTGTCAGCTTGCCTGCTTACACTGGAAGTTTCTTGTATCTGACACAGGGTTGTGTCCCCAGCAGGGTCAGCACAGGTGCTTGGAGCAGCCATGTAGGATTTGTTGGTTGGTTGAATGAATGAATGAATGAATGGTGAATGGATCCATCCTTGAACCCTCACTTCTTGGCCAGCCTCAGAACTGTTATTTTCCAGGGCAAGCCCATTTTATAGCAAAAGAGGAAGCAGAAAGGACTGCTCTGGAATGGAGAAAGCAAATCAAAAAAATGTAAATCTGGTTGAGAAAAGCTGTCCCAGGTTGGCTGTGGGGAGAGATAAGACTGGGATGGTGAGCCCTGGTTGACAGTAAAAGAAATTAGGGGACAAGCAGAGCTTCAGCCAGGCCAGGGCAAAGGGAGTGTCTCCCTTCAGTGGTACCGCCTCCCTCTGTCTTTGCCACTTTCCCTGCCCCCATGCTCTCTGCACTCCATCAATTCTCTCAGGGATCCTGGACGGAGAAGGAAACTTAGAAATGTTGATCAGCAAATGCACTCATTATTTGGTCTTCACAACTTTTGGGAAACAGGAGATAGGAATGCTCAACCTCACTTTCCAGGTGAAGAAACAGAGGTGTAGAGAAGTTAAATTGCTTGTTCAGGGTCACACCATGAATAAGTGGCAGAGTCAAGATTTGAGTTTAAATCTGACTCTAAAACGCTATTCTTTTCCCTCCATTGCACTGAGGTCTTGATCCAGGCTTCAAAGGGTCCCCAGCCTCTGAAATCAGATGCACAATTGTGTTTATGTGCATTTTTTTAATGGAGAGTTTATATCTTGTATCGTCCAAGATGATTGTCACTCATTCCCTTGCCTATACCATCTTCCCTCCCTGGAGGAGGCCTTTGAGCTGAGTACAGAAGAATGGGATAGAGTAGAGTGGGATGAAGAAGGCCAGCTGGGTAGAGAAGAACACATGTAGGGGTAGATTCGGAAGAAAGAATTCAATAGGTCTAAAGAATGCTGAGGGTGCTATGGGTTCTTACTCCTCATTTATGTGTGCTCCAATCATGGCTCCTGGCTCCCAACTTCTAAAGAGCATCTGACCACCTTGCAGCTTCCCAGCATCGGTCCGCAGGCCAAAGGAACTCCAGGCCAGGCATCAGGATATCCGCTCTGCTTCAGTCCTGTCCTCTGTTGGACTTTATCACCTGTAGAATCTTGCAAGATTTCACACCTTCTCCTGAGCACACAGGTCAATTGCTGGTGGTTCCTCATGGACCAGCGGCTAATATTAGGGAAGAGGGCTGCACCCTGGGCCCCTCCATCTCTGGGAACCCCTTCAGCCTTTACCTGCTCCACTCCTGGCTCTCAGCCCACGTCTCTCTTGCGATGACTCCTGAAGTCTCCTGGCCCTGACCAGCCTGAGAGGTTTTAAGCACAAGGACCTCATCTTCTTCAAATCTCTGCTGAATGTAGATTCGGCATCAAGACCCAGCTTGATGGGGCCCCTGCATGTGTTCACATTGTCATGTTCTTGGGAAGTTTGCAAAGGTAAGATACTTTAACCACAATCGGTTAAGATTGCTAAGTCTTTTCACGCCACCTTCCCTTGTGTTCCAACTTCCCTTTATATGAGGTGGTTGGAGAGGCCATGGGCATTTCTGGGATCTGGCTAAGGGGGATTTGAATTGGGAATCAATTTAATTTGGGTCCATTGAGATATATTTATGTGGTTCTCAGTCATCGCTGCATTTAGGTAAATCATTGCCAGCCACCTCTCTGTACAGAATGGCTTCTAGGAATCTTCCTACACACTGTCCAACTCAGAATTGTGACATCAAGATGTCATATCCAGAGGGCATCTCATGACAGGAATGTATTCCAGGCCACCTGGCCCTGGAAGCATATGGGCAATGGAGGAGAAACAGGTTGGAAATGTACAGAAACAGAAGCTAATCTGTGGGAAATCCTTCCACTTGTCAGGGGAGGAAATGTATTTCAGAGGTGTGCACGGCAGTTAGTAAAAAATACTGTGCTGTTTTTCTGAATTGTGTGACATAGTTGTTTTGACTTCTTTTCTAAGTAGATACTCATTTTCTCATTTTTGTGTTCTTTTTCTTAGAGGGCTCCCCAAATTGTATAAGCTTCAGTTCCCACAAAGTCTGGATCTAACCCCAGTGCCACCATTTATTTTCTGGGTGACGTTGGGCAAGTTACGTAACCTTTCTGAACCATTTCCTCTTGGGTAAACGTAAATGATGATTTGGACAGGTGAGGACTCCAAAAGCCTCACGCCCTTATTCCATTTCTGAAACCATTACTAGAGGAAGTAACCCAGCCGGATGAAAATTAGACCAGAATATACAGATAGGGGGAGATGTAATACACAAGAAATAATGGTGAGCAGTGATTCCAGTCAAACTCAAATCTAAGTAATTGGAAATAACGCAGTTGTTGCAAATTCTAATGCAGTTTGTAAGAAAGGATTTTTGTAATAAGAGAGACGGTATGCAAAAAAAAAATTTAATAACAAGCTGCATCTACAATTCCAGCAAAACCTGGGAAATGGGGGAAGGAGAAGGAATATAAACACATGAACAGTCTCTTCCTGTTGGGAACTTTGAAATTCTTGTCACTGATAAACACAGGCTCAGATATTTGTTAAACATTTAAAGGTATCAACAAATAGTAGGATAAAATAGGAAACTTCTGTACTTCCCTCTTCTTTCACATGAGATAGCCTCAAAGCCTGATGCTGGGAGCTTCTCAGAGGACCACAGCCAGGTGTCTCCTGTCCCTTCAGCTCTCCCCGGCCCTGCCCCCGCCCCACATGGCTGGATACAGCGTGTGGGAAGCTGCTGCTGATGGCTCCCTGTCTCCTGCCTCTGGAGCAGCAGATCCCAGCCAGGTCAGATAGGGGAAGGCAACAGAACGGGCTGGGAGCAGATCAGGAAACGCTCCTCCCAGGGAGATAAGCAGGCCTGGCCATAGCATCAGTCAAGGCCTGACGTACACAGGCCCGGTTTGTTTAGACCCGAGCATTCCACAGACCGACTCAATACACAGAGCCGGGCATTACTGCTCCCAGCATCACATTACTCATTACACAGCTGAACATTACTGCTCCCAGGCATTACAGGCCTGGGCAGTACAAAGAGCAGGTCCTTATACCAACCCCGCATCACAGAGAACCAGTTTACCCCCCAAACTTAGGTGCCATAGAAACGGACATTATCTACAGAGCCCCAGGTGACACAGATTCAAGCGCCTAGGAGGAAATGGTGAAATTAGGATTCTAGCTACAAAAGCCACAGTGACTTTGGTGGGGGGCCCTGGTCAAATGTGTAAAATCTTGGCAATGCATAGGGTACCAGTGAGTGTGTGGTGGGTGTGTTTGGTCTTTGAAGTTGGAAAACACCCAAGTGAGGGGCCCAGGTCTCCCTCTCCACCGGAGCCTCTCACCCAGACTGCGGCTCCCTGAGGGCAAGGTCTGAGACTTCCTGAGTCCAGAGAGTGAGCCTCCCCAAGAAGTTCAGAACCCTTAGGGCCCTGACCCAAGATTTCCTAAAGGCCCTGCCCAGTCTGGATGCTCACCTCCTGCCCCAGTGGATCTCTCCTCAGAGCTCAGGGCTCTGCCTCCAGGGGGCACCAAACGGACACTTCTTGACAGAGGCGATCCTGGCCCCACCCCAGGCTGAGGAGGAGACCTGAGTCCATCCTGACAGCACAGATGGCCACAGGGCTCCTGACAACCAATCTCAGGCCAAGAGCCTGGAGGAGGCCTGGCCGTGGCTGCCACTCTTGGCCAGGGGAGGGCCCTGGGACAGCTCACACTCTGGATTCTTCAGGCTTCTTCTCTGGTCCTGACATTAACGGCTGCTGCTGTAGGCCGGGACATGTCACCACCTTGGTCCCCTCCTCGTTGCCCTGCTGCCTTAGGATAGCCATGATCAAGGCGAAGCAGGCCAGGGAGCCCGTCTTGAAGAAGAACTGGAGGCCAATGAACCTGGGAAAGAGCAAGAGACCCTTGGACTCAGGACCTCCCCGTCCAGGGCTTCGGTGTCCTTGGGCTGGGGGCAGAATGGGGTCAGCAGTCACCACCCATTGTGCAGTTGGAGACATTGAGGCCCTGGGGGGAGGAGAGGCCTCCAGCCCCAGTGGACTCGGTGTCACCGTAGCCTGGGAGAGGGGGATACACTATCCAGGAGGAGCCCTGGGTGGGGAGCAGAAGCCTAGGCACCCTCCCTGCCCTGTCCCTGACTGCCTTGTGGCCTTGGCCAGTGTGCCTCTGCCTGGGTCTAAGGGCTCAGAGGCCCTGCCTGACAATTGCAACTCTGGATTGCCCCCCAACCCCCGCCTGCCCCACCAAAAGAAAAAGAGGGTTCCTTCTCCCCCGTTCGTCTAACTGGGCGATTTCCAACTGGTGTGCTGCAAGAATTTTTAAAACATGCAATACCTGACTATTTAGTCAGGGGCACTGACTTCTTTTCCCTTAGATTGTCAAATGAAAAAATGACAACAACCAACACAATAATAACTGTCTGGTGTTAACGAATCCAAATTATACCTTTTAAAAAAAATCAGATCATCAAAAATATAATATATTTTAGTAATTAGTTAATGTGTGCCATGAGATGAAAAAGGCTGAAAATCCCTGGTAGAACTCACCAAGTC